TAGGTCCCCATAAAATTCATTACAACGTTTTGGCTGTTGTACGCTCCGACCTTCTTCAGGTGGTTGGAATCTCGAACTGAACCCTTTATTTCGCTCACTGGGGTAGTATATTCTAGTTCCACGTACCATGTCTAATGGATGTTGGTCTACCCCAGTGAGCGAAATAAAGGGTTCAGTTCGACATTCCAACCACCTGAAGTAGGCTGGAGCGTACAACGACCGAAACTTTGTAATAAATATGGTGAGAAAGATGAGGACAATAGTCCGAATAATGTAAGTAGTGAGAAAAATGTTATAGCAAAATGTATTTTTTTTTCAAACACGGTCAGCACATTGTGGCCGTGTTCGTTGTTAATGTTACTGAGTGTTGTCTTTTCTTTTATTTTATTATTACGGTTTCCGTTATTTTTGGACTGTCTTTCTTTTCATTAGATATTTCTTTCTATTTACTCACTTCCTTTCTTTCTTTCTTTCTTTCTTTTTTCCTGGTTCGTTTCGTCGTTACACTTTTTATTTTCCTTTTCTTCCTTACTGACCCCTCTCTTTATTTTGTATTCTTTCTTACTTTTCGATTTTCTTGTTCTTTGTTTCCCGTTCTATTTTTACTTCTCTTCTTTTAATAATTCTTTTTCTTTTTCTTTCTCTTTCCAATACAAAAAAAAATATAAAAGAATTTAATCAATATAACCATATAAATATTCCGCTTAAATAAACAAATACCGAACAAAAAATTAAAAGGCAACGTTCTTTAATTTGTCTCGACTCAGTATCACGTTTCTCCACGAAAAATGAAACTGACTGTTACTTTTGTCATTTTTGTTTCAGTAATAGAATTACGTCCATTTTGGCGACTGTCGTTATGACAGCAACATGAAACGAATAATTACTCTCATGATTACTCTGGGAAATTAATACTTTCTTTCTCAAGAGAAGTCGCCCTGCAAATATTTAGAGATTCGGTGGATATGATCTAAACGACTACGTGCGATTTATTGTCAAAAACAAGACATTTTCCATGATAGTTTAGATTTGACTAATACGTAATTATTAAATCTTCACACTATTCAGGGTGTCTTGGCAAGGGATCAGATGATAGTTATTCTCCTCACATCACCAGAACCCTCCTCAGTATACACACTAATTTCAGTAATACCATCGTAACGTAGCTTCCTATAACTTTTCTATGTTTTAATAGTAAATGTTGTGATGGGCTTCTTTCTTTGGTACCTAGACTTTATGAATTTAGGGGATACGATTATTAGGCCTTTCGCCAGACCATTGGTACTACAAATTTCATTGTCCAAGCGAAAGATTTCGGTACAATTATTACAAACTTTGTGAGGAGCTCATAACTTATGTTAATTCTCAATCTTAACACCATATGTTCTTCTGGTGAAATCTCTAATATTGAAACGTTGGGAAAATCCATGAATAATCAGTACATATGAAATTTTTATTTACGAATATACGTCAAATCTAAACTGTCTGTTTAAACACACGCACACACACACACAGATATATATATATATATATATATATATATATATATATATATATATGAAGAAATACACTCTTAAGGTGTGCTATATTTATGGGATAAAGTGCTCAATATCAGAGATAGAGCGTGTGTAAATATAAAAGTGAACATAGAGGCGACAGGTTGTTTCATGCTAGACGCAATCGTCAGGCCATATATATATATATATATATATATATATATATATATATATATATATATATATATTTTTGTCTATGCGCGCGCGTGTGTGTGTGTGTGTGTTAAACAGACAGTTTAGATTTGACGTATATCCGCCAATAAAAAATTCATATGTACTGATTATTCATGGATTTTCATCTAATGTATAAATGCAATCGACCGGCAATATGCGTTGTGTTTTTGCTCTACTATTTCTATTTACAGGTCAGTGATGCATTATGGGTAGTATATTATATTGTTCTAACTGTTGTTTTAGTAGGCGGTAAATATTATTCTATCGTGTATTGAATGGAAATAATTGTGGATGTGGATGCAGTTTTCTGACTATTTACGTTGTTGTTAAATATTAATTATTTATTGTTGGTTATTATTATGAAGTTTACTTGGGTACGTTTATTATTTACGTAATTTTATTTAAGTTTCTAATAATTGTACCAAAATCTTTCGCTTGGTCAATGACATTTGTGGTACCAATGGTGTAGCAAAAGCCCTAAAAATAGACAATTGCTACTCCTTTGTGGAGAACATGTCAGTATGTAACCGTTAGAGGAAATCGTAACACTACACTGATATTCTATCTGCAAGACGACCTGTTTCACATTGTGGTGTTCCCCTTCCAGTTTTTTTTTTTTTACTTCCTTGCCTACATAGATTAATTGAATCAATCGCTTTAGTTTCCTTTCTTTCACTATACGGTCAGTTTTAGGAGTGACAAGATGTAACCTATTTCTGTTTTTTCCTAAGATTAGATCATTTTCAGTAGTGTGCAGTAATATGAATCTATTTTGGGGGTGTTTGGCCTTGATTGCATCAGATTTTTATCCCGCCCACAAACTATTGTCTCGACTGTAGATTAGTTGTCCTGCGGCCATTGTCTGCTATGGACGTTACTCAAAGAAAGCGTACGAAAATTGTAACGCTACACGAACACACTGGCAAGCGTTTCAAACAAATCAAAGTACTATAGACTGGCCCGGTAACTCTTCTGATTTATATCCAATCGAGAATCTGTGGTCAATCTGTAAGGAACGACTTAGTGGAATAGACATACGAAGCACTAACATGTGCACTTGATCATGTTTCATTGAGAAAAACGAAAAAATAATTAAAAAAAATAACGGAATTATTCGTTTTCAATTAATTTGCACAAAGGGTGTAATCATCATCAAGATGATGACATTATGAATATTACAGAAGCTTTCAACAACAGCAGCAGCGACAACAATATTTATCATTCATATTTGGGGGATTTTCAGACTGTAAAAATGAAACATTTCACACAACGAGAGCTGAATGGCTTGGTTAGATATCTAGCCTTGTCAAAAGAGGCAGCTAAGATTTTGGACTCCCGTCCTAGTGGGCATCGTATTCTTGACCCTGAAGCTAATATAACCTTATACCGAAAAAGAAATGAGGAACGTGTTCGTTATTTTAGCAAAGACGATTTTGTTTTTTTGCAACAACGTTCAAAGCCTTTTCATAGCAAACGAAATGCCTTATTAAAATGCAGCTGAGTGACATTTATTTATTGACAGATCTAAATAAATTTTGAAGTGTATATTGTTACACAATGGTAGCGTTTGTTTTTCTCCCAGTTGGTCAGACAGTGATCTTGAAAGAGTCTAAAGATCGTTCTACAATAACTCTGTTATGTTTAACATAAGTTGATGATATTTAAAATGGTCAATATTTTGTTAGGGCAGCAAAGTGGTTTTACAAAATATCTCTGTTTCCTTTGATTATGGGATAGCAGAGCCAATGATCAGTACTAGAAAGGAATGATTGGCCTGTTCTTGAAATGTATATTGTTGGGACGAAAAACTTCATAAATGAACCGCTGGTTAACAGTGACCGCATCACCCTGTCCCCAATACATATCAAGTTGGGCCAAATTAAACAATTTGTCAACGCATTAGATCAAGATGCCGCATGCTTCAGTTAAAGAGATTTTCCAAGCTTAGCTGAGATGTGACACGAGACCGAAAGTATAGGGCACCCAGTGAGGATCGAACTCACTAAACAGTTGTATTTGTTCTAGCGAGACAAGCTTGCTAACTATCAAAACGGCTCGAGGTGCCCCGTGCTTCAGTTATATATGCTCAGAATTTCCTGGTCCTTCGTAATGATAAATTGAAAGCAGGAATTTTTTGATGGGGCGCAAATAAGAAAAGTATATCCCCCCCCATTCATGAGATCGAAGCTTCTGCGTGAACCTCTTTTGTCGCAGTTTTGAAAGGCTTCCACCAAGACATCAAGACGATAGAGGAGTGGTACCAAGACAGAAGGAACGCCTACATGATGTCCGATTACTGCTGGGGCCTTTTGTGTGATTGCGCTCAAAAATCTCACAAAAGAAAGCCATATAAAAGAAACTTCTATCAAATAAATGAAAGTGCAATGACCTGGATAGCATGCAATATTGGTCGTGTAAGATATTCTCATGAATAACTTAAATTACATACTTTGCTAGTTTACTATCTGTCTTTATTTCTGAGATGAGGTATCATGTACACTATTTACATTATTCGGACTATTGTCCTCATCTTCGTCGCCATGGCCCAGTAGATAAAGGCATTAGTTATATCCAGTCACAGGACCCAAAGTGTTGTAGAGTAGTTTTCACAGTGGAGGCTTGTATTTCAATAAGTCGTCCTAAATTAGGTTCGACCTACAAAACGTTAGGAACTTGAAATAAGAGTTAATGACGCAGAAAATCTAGTTGTGGTGGATGATACTCCAATGTCCGACAGCGACTGACTCGCTCAACACCACTGACCCGAACTGGCGACCGCTACTACTTATTATGTGTGGAAGAATCCACTAACAATAGAATAGGTACGTCAGGTATAACACAAAGACCAGAGGTAAATACCCGGTTAATGCAGTGGAGACTTTGGAGAGGTGAATTAACAGGAGATAACTGATAACTGAAATCCATTAGACATGGCACGTGGAACTAGAACAGTCTACCCCAGTGAGCGAAATAAAGGGTTCAGTTCGACATTCCAACCACCTGAAGAAGGCCGGAGCGTACAATGGCCGAAACGTTGTAATAAAAATGGCGACAAAGATGAGGACAATAGTCCGAATAATGTAAATAGTGTACATAATACCTCATGTCAGACATATAGACAGATAATACAGTTAGTTCGAGAATATTTTAAGTTATACCGTGAAAAGAAATATTTATCAACTGGTTTTATTTTACAAATGTCGAGGTTTATTTTGCCGTTCGGTAAATAAATATTGCGCGTGTGAATATTTCTAGAAGTTTTCTTAAACATCAGAGGATATTTCTCAAGAATATACTACATTTCGCCTTAGTGTTTCTCGATCGACTGGGTCCGACTGGATCCGACTGCTGGATCCGGGTGGATGCCTCAGGAAGAAAATCGAAAAGGCAATCAAAAAGAGTTAGGCTAACAGAAAATGGAAAGAAGACTTTCAAGAAAAAAAAAAAGGAAAGTGAAAGGAAAACGTGATGGAACCGAAGGAAGAATTGAGCAAGATGAATGAAGCATTTAAACGGGTGAGAAAAATTCTTTTTCCACAGCAGAAGTGACAGGTGATATCGACTGAAGCGGTAAATGACAAAGATAATGAAACATTTAAGGGGAAAGAGATTAAAACATGGATGCATAAAAGAAGTTAGTACATCAAGCAACTTGTCATTATATGTAAGTACATAGAGTCAGCGAGGAAATTATCCGTACACCCATCAATTTTGAATGTTTCTATCTATTTCTCAGATTCTTATGCCTGTATGTTTTTATATGTTAAAAAAACACAAAAAGGAATATAAAACTCAATTTTCAGAACATTACGTTAAATAAAACAAATTTGACAGGCAAATTATAACTGATAACCCACATCCATTAAACATGACTCATGGAACTAGAACAGTTTACCCCAGTGAGCGACATTCCAAACACCCGAAGAAGACCGAAGCGTACAACGACCGAAACGATGTAATAAATATGGCGACAAAGATGAGAAGAATAGTCCGAATAATGTAAATAATGTACAATAAAAGCTTTCAATTATCCTACCAGGATTCAATATTGTCAGCCACAGTCGTATCAACATAAGATATGCAGATGACATAGTGTTGATAGCAAACACCGAAAGGAAACTACAAGGACTCCTATGGAAGGCAGTAAAGGAAATAGAGAAAAAAGAAGACAGAATTCATGGTTGTTTGCTAGTTTACTTTTGGTGTGGAATTTCATTGGAATTCATATTTTTATTTTATGATTATTAGATTATATATCTCTTGTATTAATATGCGACTGTACTGGAAAATATTCTCACAATTATTTGTTCATTGTTAAAATAGTACAGGCTGTTAGCAAATATCACATTTTAATAATTCACCTACAAACAGAGAACTTAAATAAAAGTAGTACATTTATTCAGCATTGATTACCAATTAATAGTCAAAATATCAATATCAATGTGGTTTGGTTGAAATAGGCATGTACCAGTAACACAATAATCCAATTAGTATCATTTTGTATAGATTCGCAGACAAGAAAGATATATTTCAGCAATATCTTAAAAAATAGAGCTAATTTGACAAATGTATTCAGTGACCCAAATATACCGAAGAAATAGTCTCACCCAACAGATCACAAACATTTGTTGGCCAGTATAATATAGTAATATTATCAATAAAATCATCAGGCAGATATAATATAATAATTGTTATTGCATAAAACTCTGTGTAGCGGATTTTGATATCATTATATTAATAATATTATTACGTTATATATATATATATATAATTATTATTTATAAAAAAATTATAACATAAGTATGTTATAAAATCACTACAAAAATAGCCATTTTGTTTCAACACACTCTGTGTCTTATCAAGTGATGATGTTGAAAATAAAATAAATGGTTTAAAAGTTTCAGATTAATTAACGATCCTACACTAGGGGAAACATTGTTACAAAAGCTAGAATAACCAATCAGAAACCAAGTATAGAAAGATTCAAAAGCTTGACAACGAAATCATGTTATAATATCTATTCAGATCTTTAAAATATGTGTAATATTAAAAATAATTTATACTAACTAATAATTATAAAATTATATGATAAAATTTAATATTAAAATTAAAAACTGGCAATTTTAAAAACCAAATTTAATCACTATTAAGTTTAAAAACTACAAAATTATTGATAAAAGAAAAAATATATATGTTTATTCAATTTATTTCTTCAATGAAATTACGTTCGACAAGACGCTACAATATATCCGGTCATTTGACAATACATATATATATATATATATATATATATATATATATATATATATATATATATATTTTATTATTTTATTTTTTTATAGTGCGTGAATGTGGTCTTAAACTCACGCGCAAAACAACAAAAAAACAATCAGATTATAATACATAAGCACCCAGACATAATTAGATATATACACACACCAGCGACGAGACAGGAACATCTCTACAGCCCTTTATGAAAAAAGGAAACGGGGAAACCAACACCTATACACACACACAGTTAAATGTGAATACTTGGGTATATATATAAGACATTTTTATGTTTATACATTCTTTTTATAGATACGAATATTTAAGTAAATGCTCTGTTTTATAATAAACAGTATTAAACAACATTTACCGACCTGAATGTCCGAGAAATTGTCATAGAAAATTTTCGTCCTCCGACAGGAATCGAAACTGTATCCTATACGGAACCGTCATACAGCCCGACGTGCCTTTCACCGATTTGGTCACAGAGGAGCGTTCGGTTAGCAAGGTCTTTAAACTTTAATCTTCCATGAATCTCTCACCTACATTCATATCTGCTCATGGCGTATCAAATGTAAACAAATGACGTCACACATTATGAAATGGACAAAGACCGACAACTTTTTAAAGATATTTTAAGTAAATGCTCTGTTTATAATAAACAGTATTAAACAACATTTACCGGCCTGAATGTCCGAGAAATTTTCATAGAAAATTTTCGTCCTTCGACAGGAGTATCTTATACGGAACGTCATTTGTCGGAGGACAAAAATTAAGTATATGTAAGTCAACGGCCTACAGAGACTTGCTGCGATCTCTTCCAGCTTGTCAGTCGAACTCTCAGCCTTTCGGCAGAGAGGAATCCGGACGAGGCTCCGCTGAAGGGCAGTCTCGTTTGGGGAGGTAGACTGTCCCTGAATACGTTTATACGGGTTTGAAAGGGAATATCTTTGGCCGAGCCTACGGGCTCCCAGAACCCACGTTAAACCGGCTTTGTGCCACATGCAGCCCTCGTGGGGGGTAGCTAAATATTCTCGCGGCCACCTGTTCCAGGTAAACAGTCGAACTCTCTGCCTTCGGGCAAAGAGGAACCCGGACGAGGTTCCGCTGAAGTGCAGTCTCTCTTTCGGGGAGTTAGACTGCCCCTGAACACGTTTATACGGGTTCAAAAAAGAAATATTTTTGGCCGAGCTTACGGGCTCAGAGAACACACGTTAAACCGGCCTTGTACCACATGCAACACTCGTGGGTCGTAAGTCGACCAGCCCGATCTACTTTATGCGGATTCTACTGAGATTTTTTGGCGGAGCATATAGATTCGGAAGACGCTCGTTAAACTCGGCCTTTTGCCACATCTACCCACGCGGGGGACTAGTAAATATCGTCTAGCTGGGATCTGTCCCAGCTGTGCTGCCGACCTCCCCGCCTTCGGGCAGAGGGGAACTCGAACGAGGTTGTGCCGAAAGGCAGAATTTCGTCCGAGGAGGTTATGCGGGGTCTGTGGGGATTTTTTGGCCGAGCCTACGGACTCGGGAAACCCCAGATTAAGTTAGGCCTTGTGCCACATGTGACTGCGTGGGGCAGTTGCTATATACCGTCTAGCTGGGATCTTTTGAGTACGACTCAGACTTACGCGAGAACTACCGACCTTCCAATAGTAGCACTCACATCTGGATTGACTTGTGACGACCTTGTGCATAACTGTTACCTTTATTCTTACTGGTTATTACAATAAATCTTTACGTATTTGCAGCAGATCTCAGGAATGGGTCGGGGGAGATATACTTTTCTTATTTGAGCTCCATCAAAAAATTACTGCTTTCAGTTTATCATTATGTAGTGAAAGAGATAATCAGGTACCCCTGAAAAAAGTTCGTGTTTTGTGTGCGATCTGCCGAAGAAGGATTACCAAAAAGTAGTCAGCAAAAAATCTTATAGCGAAGAAAACGGCGACTTATCTCGTCAAAACAAGCGACAGCGCGTCGTGTGTATTCTGTGACGAAAAAAACAGTTGGTGTTCTCGATTCGGAGAAGGGAAATTCGGGCATCCCGGGCTTCGGCGTTTGTTAGAGAGAGAGAGAGAGAGAGAGAGAAAGAGAGAGAGAGAAAGAGAGAGAGAGTTATTTTCCTGACTGGTTACACGCATTGTGATTCGAGATAGTACCAGCGAATCGAGTTTTCAGCATTTCTTTCTGCCTCCGATATTCGAGTCTGAACTTACGGTGATTTTTCTTTGTGTTGTGGAAGTAATCTGCGACAAATATTTCCTTTGCTTTCAGGACGCTTACACTTACACATTACGAAGGACCAGGAAATTCTGAGCAGATATAACTGAAGCTCGGGGCACCTTGAGGTGTTTTAATAGTTAGCAAGCTTGTCTCGCTAGAACAATTACGACTGTTTAGTGAGTTCGATCCTCACCGGGTGCCCCATACTTTCGGCCTCGTGCCACATCTAAGCTATGCTTACTGTGTTTGTCAAGTATATATTCCTATTAGCACGGAATGTAACACGACCTTTAGGTCTCCTCAAGCAGGTAGAACGAATAATTTTAGTTGATCCCATCCACCATTATCTACGAACACCGGAAGTTAGTGGGGAAAAGACAGAGGAATGAAAAGGCGGAGGGAATTTTTTTTTTTTTTTAAATATTTTCATCCAGGTTCGGACATAAACAGTAAATATTTACTAAGATGTCTATATTTGGACAACAACGCTGATCTTTAATTTAGCAGTTCGCCTTTGTTTGCGTATGTGGCGATCGTCAATTTTCTTCTTGTCATAGTTTCCAGTAGTTTCCTTCGACTCTACCCGGCTTCTCTTTTTTTGACCAACTTTGTGTGTGGAACTTCCTTCAACCTCCAAACACAGTTTGCCAGTTTTGTGCCATTTCTATGACTCCCAAAAGAGTTCATATAGTTATAATTAAGAACCATCTTCAGGACATATTCATAAAACATAATTAATATTAGACTATATTTAATTCAACATGAAAAGACGATGGACATAATAATATTTATGAATATGTCCTGAAGATGGTCTACTAGACCGAAACGTCCGACGTTAACATTATATTAACATTAAAACAGCATAATTGAATATTAGGATTTTTGTTTGTTCTTTCCGTATATTTTTCTTCATACTGTCGGATCTATATCCATATATTTGCTTACATATATATATATATATATATATATATATATGTGTGTGTGTGTGTGTGTGTGTGTGTGTGTGTGTGTGTGTGTGTGTGTGTGTGTGAGAGTAAAAATATATAGAAAATAGGAAAGAACTCGT